CACAGCGGGAAAGGCCAAAGAAAGGAGAGCCCTGCGTACCCCAAAAAAAAAAAAAAAAAAAAAAAAGGAAATATCAGCTGAATCAATTTCCTAGGGCTGCTCTAAGAATTCAGTGAAGTAAACCACGGGAAGCACTCAGCAGCAGCCTGGCTAAAAGAAAATGTCCGTAGTGACCGTGACAGGGCGATTTCTGCCCTTAGTCCTTGGACACAGCAGTGGGTGATGAAAGTACAGTAGCTGAACACATTGATCTGAAATCTGTGGTACAGAATTCCAAGTAATGAAGGGAAAACTCCTCACTCCCTAAGTGTGGGCTGTGCTTGGTAACTTCCTTCTGAAGAGCACAGTTTGGAAAGAGGGTGACACCTGACTAGTCAAATGATTAAGGTTAACATCATCGGGGATATCGCGCCGATGGCATGTACCCTTGGTATGGCATGCTGGAAAATCCCAGTCGAGGGGCATCCTACAAAATGCCTGACCAGGACTCCTCCACACTGTCAAGGTCACCCCAAATAGGGAAAGTCTGAGAGAATGTCATAGCCCCAAGTACTAGACGTAGTGTGGCATCCTGGATGGGATTCTGGAATTGAGAAAAGACATTAGGGAAAAACTAAGGAATCTGAGTCAAATGTGGACTTTAGTTAATCATCATCATTAGTTATGATAGATGTACATGCCAATGGAACACATACACAATAGAGGAAACTGGGTGAGGGGTAAACAGCAACTCTTGGTTCTATCTTTGCAACTTTTCTGTAAGTCTAAAACTATTCTAAAATAAAAGGTTATTTATGTATCTATTTATATGGGCCACGCCAGGCGGCTCGTGGGATCCTAGTTCCCCGACCAGGGATTGAACCCAGGCCCTCAGCAGTGAAACCGCGGAGTCCTAACCAGTGGACCTCCCGGGAGTTCTCCAAGAGTTTATTTAAATAAAAAATAAAACCTGGGGGCTTCCCTGGCAGCGCAGTGGTTAAGTATCCGCCTGCCAATGCAGGGGACACGGGTTCGAGCCCTGGTCTGGGAAGATCCCACATGCCACGGAGCAACTAAGCCCGTGTGCACCACAACTACTGAAGCCCGCGCTCTACAGCCCATGAGCCACAACTACTGAGCCCGCGTGCCACAAGTACTGAAGCCCGCGCGCTCTAGAGCCTGTGCTCCGCAACAAGACAAGCCACCGCAATGAGAAGCCCGTGCACCGCAACGAAGAGTAGCCCCCGCTCGCAGCAACTAGAGAAAGCCCACGCGCAGCAACGAAGACCTAACACAGCCAAAAATAAATAAATAAATAAACAAATAGATAGATGAATTTATTTAAAAAATAAAACCAGTCCGGAGTTGGTGTGCAGATCAGATAGTGGCTCCTCTACCTTCTGCACCAAAATGCCACCCCTTTGCCTTTAAAGAACATTTCTGTTCTGGCGGCCCCGTGGGCGGCTGTGCTCTGGCCTGGCCCCTGGGAGTCGTCTTGGGGCGCATCTTCCACCAGAGCTGCCTCGCCTTTGGAATCCTGGAAACCATTCCTGAACAACCCTCTACCTCCTCTTTGCTCAGAGTAAGAGTCTATGTTGCTGCTCCACACCTAAGAGAAAACTCAGGTGTCCTTTGGGGCTGAGGCCTTGAAGGGTCTGAGTAGCAACTGTGGATGAGGAGTCCCATCCGTTCCAGCAGCGCAAAGGCTTTTCATTCATTCTGTCAGCAAGTATGTATTTGTTCACCTATGATGAGCCAGGTGGTATCCTGGGTGCCAAGGATAGAGCAGGAAAAAAATATAAAGTTCCTGTTTTCTTGGAGCTTACATTCTGGTGGGGAGAGACAAGTAATTAAATGCCAAGGAGTGAGAAGTGCTAATAAGAAAAACGAAAGGGTGAGAGAAAAGGGAGGTGCTGTTCTAGAGAGGCTGAACAGGGTAGGCCTCTCTGAGGTGGCATTTAAGCGGAGACCAGAGTGAGGGAGCAAGTCATATGGATCCAGGGGCAGGAGCAGGATGGGCAGGGGCGGGATGGCTCGTGCAAAGGCCCTGAGGCAGTATGTGCACCGTGTGTCTGAGGAATGCAGAGGAGGCCAGTGGGTGAGGGGTAGAGTGAGAAGAGATCAGATAAGCAGCCCCAGGCAGGTCAGATCAGGTAGGCCCTGGAGGTTGTGAGGAGGTCTTTGGATTATATTCCTAATGGGGTGGGAAGCCATTGGACAGTTTGGATCAGTAATTTAACGCGATCTAATTAACATTTTAAAAGGCTTTCTCTGGCCATTGTGTGGAGAATAGGCTACGGGAAGAGTAGATGGAAGCAGAGGTAATTAGGAGGCTATTATGACATCCAGACAAGAGAGGAGAGCAGCAGTGAAAGAGGCCAGGAGCTGCAGGGCTCTGGGTCTGTCTTCAAGGGAAGGCCTATAGGATTTGCCGGGGGAGGAGGGGGGACTGGATGCTGGGTGTAAGAGAGGGGAGTCGAGGACGATTTTAAAGATTCCGGCCTCAGCAACTACAGAGTCGGGAAGTCTGAACACAGGGAGTGTCTCCCACCCTGGGGCTGGGTGAGGGGAGAGGGGAGGCCAGAGGTCGGGAAGATGAGGAGGACACAAGGGAGGCCCAGAAAGAGCAGCCAGAGAAGAGGCGGGGAGGGGTAGGGGCCGGGGGTGGGGCGGGGAGAGCAGAGCGCCGTCTACAGGCAGAGCGAGGAGTGATCACGTGCATCAGATGCTCCTAGTCAGTCAGACAAGAAAACTGAGCCTTGGACCTGGCAACCCACGTCATCAGTGACCTTGGCAAAGGAACTCCTAACTCCTGATGGGGAAGTGAGGAACGAGCCCGAGGAGTGGGAGGACCGGAGACAGGGAACCCGAACAGCCCCTGTTGCCGAAATATCGGCTTCCCTGTGCACCAAGGCTGAACAGAAGTACGGAGACAGGGATTTTGGAGGAAGAGAAAGATGGCTTTATTTTCTGCCAGGCAGAAGGGAAGACACAGCAGGCTAGTGCCTCAAGAATTGTGCCCTCCCTCCTTGGGAATCAGGGAAGATTTTATATGTGGGGCTTGCAGTCCGGGGTATAAGATAAGGATCAAAGTAGTGAAGGTCTTGCATTCTTCTTTTCCTTTGCATTATTTCAAAGCAGTCACAGATGGCATCAGGCCGCCTGGTAACTGGGGTCTGGCAGTCTGGTAACTGTGTCCGTTTGCCTCTGGTTTATCAGCCAGTGATCCTGTTTCTGAAATGCAGAAACGATAGGGGGCGATTTGTTACCAGGGGCGTACAGAATGTGAGTGCTGGGGTGGTAATAAGGTTAGGGAGTGAGAGGCACGGGATGTAAGTCACGTAAGAGTTAGGGGTGATAGGTGCCGAATGTAGATTACGTAGTGTCAGGGAGGTTAGCTTTATAAAGTACAAATCTATTCAACTACCAATTAGTGACAGTGAAAGTGAACCAAGGAGTGATTAACTCTTTCAGGCCAGGTTTTGTTTCTTCTCTAGCCTGTTTGCTGTTCCCTTTGTTTTCCCTGCTCTCAGAAGAAAGAAAACTCTCACTTCTATTTACATTGCAACACCCCCTTTTGAAGACTTTCGCTGTAAGGGGAGCAGAGACGTGGTGTGGCAGCCAGAGGGGATTTAGAACCAGGGAGCTATCACTGCGCGTCTGCACGTGGACGTGAACCACCTGGTGGAGTGGGGGAACCGATGATGCAGGAGAGGGGGCGCAGCAGGAGGAAGCCCTGGAGAAGGTGGGAGGGACCCTGGGCCAGGGCAGGGGCAGGGGAGGGTGCTGGTCTCCACGGGCAGGAGGCCGAGGCTGGAGTCAGGTCGGCAGGGAGTTCACGCCGCCTCCTCACGCCTCCTCACGCTCGTCTCTCCGTCGTCTGCTTCCCCTCTCGGTTCTGAGCTGGGACCTGAGTCCACCTGTCCCACGCCCGTCCCGCTCGGGCCCCCCACCAGCGCCCAGGTCCCCAGGCCCCTGCCCTGCCGGAGCCTCCGTGGGCGCCTTGGCTCTGTATCCCGTCTAGCCCACCTCAGCCTCGCTCTCTCCTGGCATTTCCTCTCACTGGCCGGCTTGTACCCCTCATCCGGGAAGTAACGCGTGCAGACTGCGTTTCTGGGACAACTTCCGGTATCTGACTAGACTCTGACCCTTGGAAGATGGGCACTGGTTCCATTTTCCAGGCCCAGAGAGCCTGGGTGGCCGCACTGCTGGGTCCCAGAGCCTCCCTCTGTTAGGTGACCTGGCCACAGGACTTGGGGAGCCAGTGACAGCCTGCCCCACCTGGCCGTCCGCTCCTCTGGGGCTGTGTCCTGCAGGCGGTGGCGGTGGCGGGGCGGGGGGGGGCACGCAAGCTCCCACTTCTGGGCACTGGCGTGCAGGCCTCTGTCCCGGGAGCGCGTGAAGAGCCAGGCTTCCAGGAAGCAGGAGCTCTGACCGTCACCTCTCAGGTTAAGGGCGGACAGGAAGGCGAGCCTGATGATGGACCCCAGCTCACTCCCTCCACCTGGGCCTCAGACTTCACCAACTTTCTGAAACCGTGGCAGGACGTCAGCCTAGCAGCGGGAGAGAAGCGGAGTTCTAATCTCCAGTCGGAAGAGTGGAAGCTGCCGACGATGTGTCATTGCCTTGGGAGGTGGGATCTGGGGACGGCAGGTGCCAGAGAAAAATGGGGTTTCGGAGTGGGAACGGTGTTGACATCTGTTCCTGACCTCGGCTTGCCTCATACTGGGCAACACACCTTCACACCTCTGTTTCTATCACCAAGCAAACAGGAAACTGCTTCTTTCCAGCCAGTTCCCAGTTGATTTTTTTTCCTTTTTGGCTGCACCACGCGGCTTGCGGGATCCCAGTTCCCTGACCAGGGATCGAACCCAGGGCCCCCGTGTGGGAGTGCGGAGTCCTAACCACTGGACCTCCAGGGAAGTCCCCCCAGTTGATTTTGAGTGAAGTGGCCGCGGCGTGAAGTGGGGACGAGGCTGGACAGATCTTGTGTCACAATGAGAGGCGCAGAAGCCTAAGGCTTGCTCGTTGGTAAGAAATCACCAGTTTATTGAATGAAAAATCCAACATCCTCTTAGTCCCTCCCACCCCGCCCCTCCCTCCGGCTGAGTGAGCAGCACAGCCCCAGGGACGCTCTGGACAGCAGGGCTGAGCCGGGGGAAGGGCTGGAGGAGTTTGGGGGAGGTATGGAGAATGAGAAAAACGCTTTTCAAAATGAAGTTCTGTGCAAAAACTTCTAGAAGGGGTGAGAGGGCCATGGCAAAGCTCCGGAGGCGCTGACGGGCTGGGAGGGCTGCAGCTGGAGCTCCACCCACGCGCTCCGCGTCTCCCCGAGAAGGCCAAGGCCGATGGTGCGGGCTGAGGGGCTCAGGCCCCCTGAGGCCGTGGAGAGAGGGAGGCTTGGCTAGGAGGACGGGGCCTGTCCAGGCCAGGGCTCCAGGTGAGGAGGGGAAGACAGACCGGCGAAAGGAAACGGATGGACACGGGGAGCAGGGAGCCGCAGGGACCGGGGCCACAGACGACACGTTGGATGGGGCTGCCTCCCATCTCTCCGGGTGCAGAGTTGCAGGCAGAGGCGGAGGTGTGCTGGGGGTGTGGGGGAGGAGGCTGGGGAGGAGAGCCATCAACAGGGGGAGACCCAAGGACAGGGACCAGCGCCCAGGTGAGTCACACGGAACCACCGAGAGACTGGCTGGGCGGACAACCAAAGAACCGCTCAGGGACACGCGCGGCACCTACAGGGGACCTGGGCGCGGTGAACCCTTGCACGGGCGAGACCACGGAGCCCTCTCCACCCCAGAAACCCACGCGTGGCCTCAGAAATGCTGTCCTGGGATGAGGGGGTGGGAGGGTTCGTGCCCCGTCAGCCCACAGCAGTGGGAAGTGGCCTTGGCTCTGGGCCCCACTAGAGGGGGGCCGGCTGAGTGGCATCTGGCAGCTGAGCTTTAGAAAACGAGATCCTGGGGGAGATGGGGGAGGCTGGAGCCCCTGCTGTGGGCCAGGACCCTGGGTTTCCTGTTTCCGGGAAGGGAACTGGTGCCACGTGGAGAAAGAGGTTGGAAGTCAGGCGAAGGAAGGCCCGGAGGACTCAGTTCCAGGGACCAGCGTTGGCCGCCAAAAGGCAAAATCAACATGCCTTGGGCCTGGAACAGAGGGAGAGGAGGAAAAGGAGAGAGGGAGGGCGGGGGCTGCCCACGGATGGGACCCAGCATGGCGGGGGGTGGGGGTGGGGAGCAGCGTCCCCGGTGGCAGTGGCCTTCAGGACCGGGCCAGGGAGATGCAGGCCCCGGGGCCAGGAAAGGGGACGCTGGGCCTGGGCCTGCTGGCCTCCCCCTGCCTGCAGGCGGTGAGGCTGGTGGCAGTGCCAGGAGGGAGAGTAGCCAGGAGACGGTGCCCTCAGGTGGCCTTGCTGCCACTGAACAGTCCCACTGGAAAGTGCTTGACGTGGGTGGGCCACTGGGCTGCCAGCTGGAAGAACTTGATGTCACTCCACTCGACTCCATCGATAGACACTGGGGGTGACAGGGGAGGCGAGGGGGTGACCGGGGCTGCTAAGGCCGTCTTCCCAGGGTCGCTGGGGAGGGCCGCGGCCCCCCTGCCCCCTCCCCCCTCCCCCGCCCACACCTCTCAGCATCGTCTGCTGCTGCTTGGCAGAGCAGATGAGGCGGCTGATGCCTTCGATGACCTGGCTCTTAGAATCCACCTCCTTTTCTCGAGGCTTCTTGCTCAGGAAGATGGTGGGAACTGGAAAGCAAGCAGGAACCGCCCTGTCACAGCCCCTGAAAAGCGGCCACCACTCTCCCCCGTCCACTGCCCTCTCCCCCCAAGGGAAGGGAGGTGAACGGCAGACAGCCGACTCCTCTCCCCTGCTCCCTGGCTCCGGGCTACGTATCAGGGTCTGCGAGCTCCTGCTCTCCCTGGGCCTCGATATATTCACTGAATAACGAGGACCCAGGGCCAGACGGTCTCCGAGTCCCTTCCAGCTCGAACGTTCCGGCAGCCTGTGGGGCAGGGGCTCTGCTGCCCTGTCGGGTGCCTCCTTCCCACCAGCTCATGCGCCTGCGCGGGGAGGCCCTGCGGCAGGGTTTGCGTGAGCTCCGCCCCAGGACGCCCTAGGCAGGTCTCTGGGTGCCCGGACGGCTCCTGGCTGTGGGTCTGGCATGGCCCTGGCCGCCCTCCGGGGGAGCTCTTCCAGAGAGGCATGAACGGAAAAGCCCAGCCGCTTTGGATGCGCCCAGAGGAGGAAGGCGGGGCCCGGCAGTGAAGGAAGCCCCTTCCTGACGGCTGGGGGGCTGCGAGCGCCCCAGAGTCACCCTGCCGGCTTCTGCAGGCACAGAGCCAGCTGTGTGGCTTCCCGACGGGGACCGACAGCAGCGAGTGACGTCCCCACGGTGGCCTGGCCGTGGCGGTTCTTGCCTCACTTTCCCAGTGCACGGGACCCGCTCCCCCGCCACTGCTGGTGCTGAAGCCACCCTCTCCTCTGGGCTGGGCTCCGTTCCCCTGGATTCTTAACAACAGCCATGCCCTTTGCTCAGAAGGCTTGGGTGGCCTCCAGGGTTGGGTGCAAGTGCTCCGCTCCGTGGGGCTGTGGCAGGGGGACATGTCCTCCCCTGTCACACCGTCCATCCCGGAGGGCGGTGGCCAGAAAGCCTCCCTTCTTTATGGCAGCAAAAACTGCCTCACCCCTCAGGTGCCGATGTTCTGCAGGCAGGGACCAGTGACCCCCTGGGGAGCGAGGTCTCCTCTGTGACAGAAGGAACGGCCTCGTCCCACAAGGTGAGGCGGGACCCCCGCGGGACCCCAGGCCGGATCACATGATACGTGTGCTGCCTTTGTCCTCGTCCACAGTCTCCCAGAAGCACGTCCTGTCCCAGCCCCCGAGACAGACGGGGAGGCCTGGTGGCCCTGATGGCCTGTGGCCTCACGTGTCACTTACCTTTCTTGTTCTTCTCTTTGGTGACCACGGTCATTGCCATGGTGCCGGAAAGCTGGGCCTCCCCACCGTGGGGCAGGCGGGAAACCTGCACCGAGCGGAAGACGCTCTTGAGGGTGTTCTTGGAGCTGGCGTCCCTCTTGTCACCTTCCCTCCTCCGCTCCCCAGGGTGGCCCAGCCAGTAGTCCACCTGGAGGCCAATCACGTCCCCATATGGGCTGCTGGGGCTCCTGGAGAAGGGGCGACGCCGGAGAGCGGGCTCAGTTCCTGACCACAGGGCAGACGGGGTGGAGAGGGCCCTGCCAGGCTCTGGGAGGGGCCGGGGGAGGCGCCCGCTAAGTGGCTCCGGGTTCCCTCCAGCCTCACAGCACTGGCTGGTGTGGGAGTGGAGAATCAGGCTGATCTGAGGACACAGCCATGAGAGGGTGAAGACCCGAGTCCGCACGAGGGAACCGAATAAAAAGTCACACGGGAACGAGGCAACGAAGGGAGAAAGTGTGTGTATGCACACGTGCGCACACATACACAAGGACACACACACACATGCACACCCCTCATGAGCAGAGCCGGGGCAGAACCCCACCAAGCGTGGGGGAGATTAAGTGGGGCAGACGAGGGAGCACCGCGGCGGCTCCAGAGCGGCCCCGGGGGCAGTGGGCGGAGGCCGGCCTGTGGCTTCCTCCCGTCTCTGGCGCTTCTAGCTCAGGGATAATTTTAGCTCCAAGGGGAAAAAAAGCTGATGTTTTCTTGAAAGGAGGCGCCAGACACAATAGGCTACAAAAGTCATCTGACGTCTTTCTTTCTGCCTGGATTCAGTGGTTCCATTAAAAACCCAGCTTAAACTGGATGGGAAAGGAGGTCGGGGTAAGGCTGGCCCCCAGGCACCCAGGAAGCCTGGACCGTGAGGTCACAATGTGACCTGTGGTGGGATTTCCTCCTTTTCATGCACTTCGGCAAGTCAGCGGCAGACCCTCGATGGGAAGCGAAGGGGGAAGACAGGGCAAGGGAGGGTGAGGGCTGGGGTCTGGGCTCCGCCCTGAGAACACTTCGTATTCTGTCACTGGGGGTTCTGGAAAAGCCACTGGCCAGGGCCTACCCTCTCTGCTCCATAGGGACCATCACCAGAAGACCAGGAAGGTGAGGGTAGAAGAAAGGGAACGGGGAGGAAGAAGGAGCAGGGGCTCCTTTCAGACCTTTCCCACCTCGAAGGCTGTTCCCTGAGCCCCGCTGTGGGACTGCCCGCCCGCCCACCCCCGCTCTGCTCAGCTCCCGGAGGCCTCCCTGCCCGCCTGGTCTAAACTTTGGATATTTGACATCCTAAAGAAATTCCCGTCCCCCTCACAGCCACCCCTCCCTGACTGTTCACAGCACTCTCTCTGTGGCTTTGGTGCTGCTGGGGCCCAGGAGCCTGGGCTCTGGAACAGGGTCCTGCCTGTGTCATTGGCCGCGGCAGCCTTTCAGTGATGGACGGACTGAGTGCCTGGAAGGAGCCGCACCCCCACGGGCCGGGCACTAATGCGCGCTCTCGCTTCCGCCTCACAGCAAGACCGACGGGGCTATTTCACCTTTACTTTCACGGAGTTGAAATGAGGCTTAGTAACTCGCCCAAGCGACAAAGATTCTTTGCTTGACCAAACTTTAGTCAGGCTCCTGCACCTCTTCCCGGGCCCACCTGTGCACTTCCTTGGAAAATCCAGTTCTTGCAAGAAGCCCCCGGCCCGCATTTCTGGTCACCCTGGATCTCTGATTAGGCTCCGCACCCTCCACCTTCCCTCAGGAGTGTCGCCAGCAAGGCTCCTGTCAGGTCCGTTTAGCCGGAATCACACCCCTCCTCACTCCCGACGTTCCTCCTGGTGATTTTCCATCCGCTGCCCCCACGCTGCTCCTGGACTGCAAACCCAGCTGCTCAAGGGTTTGGAGTCAGGTCCCGTCCCTCTCTCACTGCAAAATCCCATCGAGGTGGTCCCGACACCTACGGCGACTGTTCCCAACGTGGGTGTCACTGAGTGATCTGTTCTTTAACACAAGCTAACACGGTGGACGTAACACAAACCGTGACTCAAATCCGGGTGTGTGTGACGCCCACGCCCACACTCCCTCTACCACACTGGGCAGTCCTACAACGAGACACATGCACAGCACTTTACAGGCTGCCAAGGGCCTCTCTGCCCTTTGTCTCACTCGACCTTATACCTGTGAGGCAGACAGGACAGACGGGAGCCTGCATTTGCAGAGCTGTGTGATGACCTGCTTGGCCAGCGACCTAGCTCCACTGCTCTCGTTCCCTCCCCCCGCCACCTTCCAAGCTCAGTGTCACCGTCCTACACGCTGTGGCAGCAGGGAAATCAGTCGGGCTGCTGCCCCGATGGAAGGACGTGGCAGGAAAGACAGGAACCGGCGACAGGCTTACCCCACGACGGCCAGGGCGCTGCTCATGGACGGGGAGGAAGGAGGGGTGGCCATGGCGTCTCGGCTCAGGCCTGAGCTGGAGGGCGGCGACGTGGAGGGCACGGTAAGGCTGACCACGGGTGAGTCATCACCATCGCCTGCCAGCGGGACAGACAGACACAGTTGGGCAGGGGAAGCTGTCCCGACCCTCTGGTGCCAGGGAGTCGAGGCGCCCCCGTCTCGGCTGCAGCCTGCTCCCCACTCCGCCCCGGCCACTGCCTCGCTCCGAGGCTCGAGCTCTGCCTTGGCCTGGGACCCCCTGAGTCTTCGCCTTCTGGCCTGTTTGAATAGGAAGGAGACGGCAAGGCACCACCCTCACCCTGTAGAGGCCAAGGGGCCCCAGGCTCACCTGTAGTGGAAGGAGAGTCTTCGACCAGACCCACCTTCACCACCTGGGAGGGAGAAGAGATGCCGCATTAGATCCTCCTACCAGAGCTGGACGCGCTCTGATCAGCTGGAACCAGCGGCCGCCACCACACACTGTTGGCTCGTAGGCTTTAAGACTCTTTGCCGATCCCGAGCAGACCGGATAGTTAAAGAGATGTGAAAAAGCCCAGCTGCAAACAATGAGTCAGGGGCACAGGAGACCTGCAGCTCTCCTCTGGGGATGCAGGCAAGGCCACCTGGAGGGTGGGAAGCACTTTTGTGTCCTGATTTCATTTCTTCTAAGACCGCTTGGGCAGGAGGCTGTCGTCTCATGTCAGAGAGAGGGGAGGACCGGGAAGAAGCCTCGGCAGACAGGAGCGGGGTGCGGCGGGGGCTTGGGGGGGCGCGTGTGCTGCACCAGGCCCAGCGAACAGCTGGAACACGCTGACATGCTGGGAGCAGGCCCCTCCTTTCCAGACTTCCTGGAATCTGGAGGAACACCAAAGAGGAGGGGGTCCCCAGTACCGCCGCTCCCTCCCCGCAAGGCAGTGGTGTCCATTTCAGCTCCCCAGAGAATTTTAGATTCCTCTGAGAGAATTCTGGGAAGGACAGAAGGGGGCCCTCCCGTGGCCAGCAAAGGGCACATCTAGAGACAGACCATGAAGGTCAGGGCTGGGGCCTGAGGTGACAGGTGAATCCCAGCACCCTGCAGAGGCACAGCAGGGCGGGGAGGTCATGGAAGCTGGGCCCCGGGGACGGTAGGGAGCAGGGGTCACACACGGATCAGAGCACAATGCTGCCCTTCGCTGAAATTTGTTCCCGATCCTCTACACATCCTGATTTTAATTCCCAGAAAGTAACACATCGATACCCTGAACTTCTGGACACGACTCCTCTCCCCTCACTCCTCTGGCATTGCACAAGGCTGCCAGCTCCTTTGTTTGTTTGAATTTTTAATTTTTTCTATCCCTCTGTCTTGCTGCGAGGCTGGAGTAGGCAGTGACCCCCAGCTCCATGAAGACCCCACAGCGCCACAAAGATGTGGGTTAGACTGCCAGCCTCGGCTACGGGCCACGGTCCCGGGCCTGCGGCGGGGCTGTGGGAGCAGCCCCAGTGGCTAATGGGGACTGACTGGACCAGGCAGACAGGAGGCTTTACGGAGGATCTCCCCAGGATCAGGCCTCTCCCAAGATCTCTCGAGATGCCCAGGGTCTGGGACGAACAGAGAACAGGGACAGTGGGAGCTGGGCCCCTCCCCCGCACATGCCCCATCTCCCCTAGAAGCTGGGAGGATCCTCGGGGAGACTGTAGGAAAAGATACCAGCTGGTCTGGAAGAGAAACTCAATCGTCTTGCAAATGGAAATCAGAGTTCCCAGCCACGCGTCTGTGTCGTGCTTTGGCCCCGGCAGGGCGTTGGCTCTGTCCCCTCTGCGCTCCCTCTCTCGGTCGGTCTCTGCCTTGTGGCCTAGGCCTTTGTGCAGCAAAGGCCGGTACCACCTGACACCAAAGACACCCAAGAGGTTTTCCTTTTATGTTCAAGATCCGCTCGTGTAGAGACTCTGCCTTGACTAAGCAGGAGGAGGAAAGAGCCTCTTCCGCTTGGTGTCCACACGACTCTGAAGGCTACCGACTCCTCGGACTTCTACGAGTATCATCTATCGTTATCCGCGAGGCAGCTTTCTGTTCCCTGGAGCCTGTAGAACCAATGCCCTGGACATCACTCCCTAGGCCACGGCGCCAAGTTCAGCGCCTGGTGTAATAAACATGAGATAGCCGTGGTGAGCTGGGGACGGCCCCTGATCGGGAAAGGACACTGCAAGGAACAGCTCGGTGCCTGTCCCAGCCTGGGGCTCCCTCACCTCGGCACTGCTGACGCTCGGGGCTGGATCACTCTCTGTCGGGGGCCTGTCCTGTGCCCTGCAGGATGGTTAGCACGTCCCTGGGCTCCACCCATGAGATGCCGGTACCACCCCCATCCCCAGCTGTGACAGCCAAACTTGTCTCCAGACCAGACACTGCCAGATGTCCCCTGGGGGCAAAATCGCCTCCGGATGGGAACCGCTGTCTAGATGAGTCGTGTGTGTGTGTGTGTGTGTGTGTGCGTGCGTGCACGCGCACGTGTGCACGCGCACGTGTGCACGCGCAGGACAGGAAGGCCAGGAGAATGGGTGGGTGGGGTACGTAGAACAGGGGAGTTGTACTCACGCCAATGAAGGGGATAAACTTCTGATACGAGTCTTCATCAGGGCTGTTGGGAGAGACAGGAAAGCTTTACAGTTGGGGGGTGAGACTTCGTGGAGAGATGGGGACACAAGCTTTCCATGTTTTACTGTGGCTTTAAGGGAGTCCAGACACTACACAGCATCTTCCCACGGCGCCTCAGGATGGCGCGAGGAGCCACCAAATGGAGGCAGAAGCTCCGATTCTGCACACTCTACCACTGCTCCCGGGTCTGTACTGAGGGGCGCCCACACGGGTGGGGAGGCCCAGGCAAGGAAGGGAACGCCTTGGGGGGAGGCAGCAAAAAACACTCTCATATCCTCTTGAGTTCTTACCAAGGGAAATGGGGTGGGGAGAAGGAAAGTATGAAAAAGCAAAGGAGACCTAAGATTTATCTAGCCCACCCAACCTGTTTTTAAGAAACCCCTCGGTCAACTTACAACTTGTGCCTGCAGGTCAGCATGGCTTCCGCCACAGGCAGCTGGTGCGTCACGCCCGCGCCGCTGACGTACTGCATCACCCGCCCAACCACGTCCAGGTGCTCTGCAGAGAAGTCAAGAGACAAACGCCGACATTTCAGCAAGTGAGCCCGAAAACCCTCTCCGAGAGCCCCCTTCCTGCGTCCCACCAGAAGACCCCAGGAGTTGAGGCAGAGAAAGGGCTCTGAAGACCCACTGGCTTGAATCTAACGAATCATGGAGCAAAGAGCCGTCCTCCCATCCGATCTGCGTGCTGTCCTCCCCAGCCTGCCCCTCCCAGGCTTGGCTCGCCCCCGCCTCCGTCTCTGCTTGCAGCAACCTTGGAACCACTGCAGCAGCCTGCCCTCCCCATCCAACGTCTGCCCGGCACTCCCTGCAAGGCCTGTGGGAGCACTGACCACCTCCCGGCCCCGCAGAGCCCAAGCTTGCGCGCCCATTCCTGCCACCTCTCCTCTGTCTTTCAGGAGCGTTATTCATATTCCCTGCCACCCTCACAGCCCTCGTTTCCAGCTGTGCAGAGCAAATAGCAGAGACTAAACACATCCAGAGTGGAAGGGCTGCGCTTAATAAGGGCCCTTATTAATAAGTACTGAAGGGCCTCCTTTTAATAAGTACTGAAAAAAACGAACACGCCACAGGGAGGAGAAGCGGCACGCCCCTCGCCCCTGGCTCTCCAGAAATCAGGCCACATTCTATCTTGGTCCCTTACGAGGGGCCGTTACCTGACACCGGGGGCTCTGAGCGGTTGAACAGATCTCTCCAGCCAGAATCAAGGAAGATACTGCTATACCTACTGTCGACGGAGCCCAGGTACTTGGCCACCGGGTGAGAACCTGGTAGGTGGAAACCAGACAAGGAGAGCTGGTGAGGGGGTGAATGATGGCCCAGCCTTCGGTCTCCCTGCCCGTCACTTCCTGGGACCCAGCGCCACCACCCCGCTTCAGGAGTGGGCCCTGCTGAGCCTTTACCGAGGGGAATGATGAGAAAGCGCATGTAGCCCAGCCAGTCGGAGGTCTTGCTGGCCAGCGACTTGACGAAGAAGCGGAGGATGGAGCTCAGGTAGCTCTGGCCGCCCACCGCTGCCACCTTCACCGGCCTCGGCATGGAGGAGTTGCAGTTGCAGCTGGGAAGCAAGGGGAAAGGCACGGCTAGGTCAGGTGGGCCTGCGTCCGGCTCAGAGGAAGGCCCCAAGCTCAGACTTCACTTGATCTCAACAGCCCACGGGGAAAAGCAAACCAATAAACAAAATAATACAGGGAGAGGCAATAAACCACAGCCCTTTGCAAACAGAGAGAAACCCAGGATCAGAGAGGACAGGGAATTGTCTAGAAGGAAGGCAGAACTGGCTGAGGCTCACGGGGAGACAACTCAGCAGCACCCTGGGGTTGGCGGTGGGCATGAGCCCAGACACCCGGGAAAGCCCGCAGCTCTTTCCCACGGAGCGAAGGCCCCGACTCTGGGTAGTCGGAGGGACGGGAGTAAAAGGTCTTGTAAAACCCTGGGCTCTCTCTGCCCGGCCTTCTTCGTCATGGGCTTAAGAAGAGGACGAGGCAACTCAAGGTGTGGCAGGAGACCAGGTGGGGAGGCAGGTGGGCAGGAAGGTGACATTTTTACCCCAACCCTCTGGGGCCAGCAGGGGCCACGGTCTGACGCTGCCCAACCAGGTACCAATTACGAATTCTTGGTCTGATAAGGCCAGGAGGTCCTCTCACTGCTTAGAAATCAGGGTGGGAGGATGAGGTCAGAGGGAACCCCAAAGGGCAGGAGAAGAGCCGAGCCCTTACTAGCGCTGGATACGGGTGAGCAGGGCGGACAGCACGGCCTGGACCTCCACCGTGGAGCACGTGCACACGACGGGCTTCCGCTGGTCCTGGAGCAGCTCTGCCACGTACTGCGTGGGGTGGGGGAGGGAAAGGAGCAGGGACACAGGTGAGGCCACGCAGCAGGGGCACTGCCTCCCCACAGGCCAAGAGGGCAGCAAGGCCCAGACCGAGCTGCAGGGCCCCATCCTCTGTCGTTCAGATCACAGCCGGGCAAAGGTCAGGCTTCCGGCAGCCAGCGAGGAGAAGGTGGGGCCGGACCCCACGTAGATGGGCTCATACGGAAATGTGGGAAGACCTAGGGCACATTAGATTCTAACGCGGCCTCTGTCGCCCACACGCTAGGTGGCCCCGGGATCTAACCGGGTGGACGACGGGAGCGGGAGGGACAGGGGCTGCTGTTGCCCTGCCCCTGCTGAGCGGACTTTGTGGAAACCGGGGCGCCTCTGGCATCTCACAGCACTTGGTGCTCCTCGAGGCACCTCCCTTCCGGTATGCTGCCTGAGACGCAGGGCCAGGAAGGCGGGCATGACAGGTGATACTGCCGTGTTTTTAAAGCTGAGGAAACCGAGGTACGGAAAATTGGTGATTTAAGCCCCACAGGTGGGAAGACGACGGGACTGGGACTAGAGTCCAGAACTGTGGGCTAAGTTCGGGGCAGGGGGGCCTGAGAAAGGGGGGTGATTTCCTATTTCCCCACACCTTGCCTTTCAAATCTGTCTCTCGCTCCCCAGAATCTCTCCTCCACAGCCCTGCGACCTTCGACACTTTACCTGGCCCTGCCAATCAGCGGTGCTCACAAGGATGACGTTTTCTGGGAGGGCTGCATCCGACACCAGGATCTGATTCAGTTGGTCATATACCACCTTTCTTGGAATCTACAAGGACAAAAGCGTCTGTTGGGCAGTCCCCAGGGAGCTTGAGGGGAGGGCTGAGAATTCCTGGGGCAGGGGTGTTCAGAGAACAGCTACCAGGGACTTGTGCGGGAGACCCGGTATCCCACCGGCCAGAGCATAAGGGGAAGGAAGGAGGGGGATCAGGAACAAGCAAAGCGAGGCCTCAGAACACAGGCTGGTGCGCCAGGGGCACAGCTGGCCGTCCTGCCAGAGCAGGAAGGGCCCCGAAGGGTAATGAAGCAGGGCAGCAGGAGAGGAGGAGGAAGACGACAGCAAGCAGGCGCTCACAGGATGGAAAACGAGGGCAACGCCGGGGAGAGAACTAATGAGAGCAGCAAGGAGGCTGTGTGGGGAGCTCCCCCGGCACAGCGAACAAAGGTATTTCAGGAACAGTGATTAACAAGAAGGACAATACCTCGCCCCAGGCACCAGGCTATTCTAGTCCCGGGTTCATTTTCAGGGTTCATTTTCAGCTATAAGAGCGTCAGCTCAGAAAGCCACATGGACACAAACTTCCCTTCCAATGATAGGTAGCAGGGAAACGAACAGGCCTGCTGTTGACCTCAGGAGAGCAGGAGGTCTGTCGGGGGAGAATCCTTCCCCCGGAGACTGACCTTCAGAGGGAACAGGACTCCCGAGGGCCAGTTCCTTCTGTGCCTGCCCCAGCCACTCTTAGGTCTTTCAATCAAAACTTTTTTTTTTTTTTTTTTTTGGCGGTACGCGGGCCTCTCACCACTGCGGCCTCTCCCGCTGCGGAGCACAGGCTCCAGACGCGCAGGCTCAGCGGCCATAGCTCACGGGCCCAGCCGCTCCGCGGCATGTGGGATCTTCCCGGACCGGGGCACGAACCCGTGTCACCTGCATCGGCAGGCGGACTCTCAACCACTGCGCCACCAGGGAAGCCCTCAATCAAAACATTTGAATACTGTTGACGTGCCAGCTTGAAACCACTCTAATTGGCCCACAGCAGCACTAAGGGTATCAGAGCTCAGAGCAGACGTCCCGTGAGAGCCGATGGCTGCTGTCCCTAGAACCACTGTCCCCGCACAGTCTCCACTAAGGTCTGATGGGGGCAGAACGAGCCAGAGTCTCCTGCTCCGTCCCCGGCTCCCCACCAATTCCTCAGCAGTAGCAAATAACAAGCATGCTAGACTTCCCCCTTTAGGTCTGCCTTCAAGACTTTATTCAGAGCCGTTCAAAGTACTCCCCGCTCCTCTTCACCCAACCGCCCAAGGAGACAACGGAACAGAGACCAAGGTCCAGGGGCGCCCGACAGGCCGGGGTACCTGCGTGCTGTGGCCCAGGTCTGGGGACCGCTCGCTGTCGGAGCTGTTGGTTCTCTCGCTCAGGGGCTTGGAGAGCTGCCGCTCCTTCAGGGGAGTGCCCCTCTTCTGCCGGGGGGTGTGAACCCCGTCCATTTTGCTGCCACAGACGTGGAAGGAGGCGGTTAAACAGCCCCCTGACCCAGAGCCATGGCCTGCCCCCTCTTCCTGAGGCCCCTCCTGCTGGGCTTCCCTCGCTCTACCCGATGCTTTAGGAGCTTCTTCCAACCCTGAGTACCTGGGAGAGGCAGAGCCCTGGAGGTCCGTTTTACTGGACTTCATCGGAGTTTTGACTTTCTCTGGCACAACCAGACTTGCGCTCACGTCTCCAAACATGTCCTGGTCAGTGATTTCCTGCCACGGAGGAAAGGAAGCAGTGAGGGTTACTTCCCCTTGGTGACCACGGGAGCCTCGTGGTTCCTGCCAGGGCCCATGACCGTCACGAGAAAGTCAGTCCCTTGCTCTCTTTTCCGGGAAGCACAGGGTTCTACAACTCCTTCCCCACCCGACGAGGACACCGTGACTGTTCAATGTAGCTGAGTGCACCCGCTGTACCAGGCACCATCTCCTGCTATTCAATCTGTACCCTACGTTTATGAACTGACAGCCCACAAACCTGGGCTGATGATCTAGCTTCTCTAGGTGGGAAGGAGAGTGTTTCACTCAGGAAGTGACATGACTGGAACTTCATTTAAAAAATAAAAATTTATTTATTTATTTTTGGCTGCGTTGGGTCTTCGCTGCTGCGCGCGGGCTTTCTCTAGTTGCAGCGAGCGGGGGCTACTCTTCATTGCGGTGCGCGGGCTTCTCATTGTGGTGGCTTCTCTTGTTGTGGAGCACGGGCTCTAGGCGCGCGGGCTTCAGTAGTTGTGGCTTGCGGGCTCTAGAGCGCAGGCGCAGTAGTTGTGGCACACGGGGCTTAGTTGCTCCGTGGCGTGTGGGATCTTCCCGGACCAGGGCTCGAACCTGTGTCCCTTGCATTGGCAGGAGGATTCTCAACCACTGCGCCACCAGGGAAGCCCCTGGAACTTCATTTTGAAACGACCGCTGTGCAGTATGGGCCAAAGTGGAAGATGGGTTACTCGGATTATGGGTTAACTACAGTAATGTTGAATCCAACCTAAGGTTTTGTCAGACACCAGATCCTTAATGCAGCATTATTTACTGTAGGAAACATAAGCCTGAAACAATTCCTCCTCGGCCTCCATTCAGCTAGCAGCTCCCCCCGTAAGGCGGATGTGCAGCACACCCCCAGATGGTATTCGGTCAAGTTCTCTGTTCCCTCCCATCTGCTGGGCCCGGCCTCCAGCCCCACTGGCTGAACTGTGGCAGAACCTGCGGGCCCAGCTCAGACGCCCTACCCCCAGGTGAATGGCTCTGTCCTTCCCGGGCCCCACAGAGCCTCTGCGCCAGGTGTGCCCCGGCTGGCTCTCCTCCCGGAGGTGGATCCATGGTGTTCTCATTTTTGCACCTTCAGTGCTCAACACGTGTATGTGTGTGGAATTTCAACCTGTGTGTAATTAAATTGGGCAGCCCAGCCGATCCACCCCACGCGCCCCTGAGCAGCTCCAGCATCTCTTAGCGGAAGGAGCTGACTAGTAATCACTTGGAGACTTAATGCTGTGGGCTGTCTGGCCATTGTAAAAGCAACCTGGAGGCAGGGATGGTTTTTCGGGGGAAGATACTGGTCATCGTATCTGAGCAGTAAACGAGGGTGACAGATAGTGAGAAATTGTCTAAATTAGCACTTGATCAGATCTAACTAAAGGGCAGAATGGGGACACTTCTAGTTTGCTAGTTTGGGGAACAGCGCTATATTCCACGGGTAAGGATGCTGGGAGGAAGGGCACGCAGGACATTCACAAGTCCACAGAGCTAAGCCAAAGTTTCAGGGTGGTCGTCAGGATCTTTCTGCCTTTGCTTCTAAAGGTACCAGAGACGATTTTAAACAGCTGAAACAGGAGCCCAAGCCATACTTACCGGCGCGTCTGTCTCAGTCAAGCTGTCATCTTGATTTTTAATCCAGGCAGACTTGACTTTTTCTAAAGCAGCCAATTCCATCTGCAAAAATTATAATAATTAGTCACCATCAATCCAAATAACCACCACTCTAACCTGTTTTCTAGGTCCCTTGGAAGCTTAAAATACCCTCACTTAATCTGAAGACCTCATAAAATCTTTGGGACTTTCATCTTACTAGGAGCATATTTTTGTGAAAACTGAGCTTCGGAAAGGTCAGTTATTTTGCGATCATTAAATTAATAACAGCGAGATGCGGAACCCAGAAATTCTGACTCTCACAAGATGTCACCAGGAAAGAGAAGCTCAACGTTCAGACGGCATGGCTGTGGGATCTGTCAGTCTTAACCCTGGATTCGGTAAACACCCTTGCCCAGGAGGGGCACACAGGGCCTCTTCTGCTGTCAGAGTTGCTCAGAAGAAAGGGGAATCTCAGAGTTCACGTCTTTGATTTCGAGACTAAAGACATCCATGGTAGCCAAATGCTTTTTGCTTGGTAGAAACATCTGGAAAACCCTCAAACAGAATATACTAAGCCATTTAGGTGTGAAATAATTCTCCCTTTGTCCCCAACTTCTATTGGCATTTCTCATAAATATTAAAAAAGGACTTTGCAAATACAGATACATAACCAGATTTTTCACACTTGCTAATGCTGCTTCTGGCTGTGCAGACACCAATGTCAAAATCATAAGCAGTTGTGGGTTGTGGATCTTAGCTATGGGGAAGGTCCTGGCCTCAGTGGGTCTCTGGTTCTTGTGGGGAACCAGGGAATCAGAAAGGATCAAGGATATCCCACCTCCTCCCAATGACCCAAAGCCTTTTCTCTGAGTACATAACAGAGTACAGAGAAATGGCCTAATAAGCTCAAGGGGCCACTCAGCAAACCAATGAACAAGGACCACAAAAGTAGGCCCACACCATACGCTAAGCCAGGGTTTCTCCGCGTGGGCACCGCCGACATCTGGGGCGGGTCTTTCTTTGCTCAGGGGCATCTTGTGCAGGATTTGAGCTGCATCCCTGCCTCCACCCACTAGATGCCAGGAACAGCCCCTTATCCCCTATCACCCCCGCTGTGAGAACCCAAAATGTCTCTAGTCCTCGCCAAATGTCCCTTGGGAGGCAAAATCACCCTTGGTTGAGGACCACTGCTCTGAGCCGTCTGCCAAACTAACCTAACACACTTTATCCAGACCCTGTGACCCCTGAGGGGGAGACGGTTTGCTCAGAGCCGCGCACAGCAGGTTGCCTCCAGATTGCACCGCTAGCTCATTTACACATTGTCTGTATGAATAACCGATGATAAGAGAGTCCACGCTCCCAGAGAACTCTTCATCAGACTTAAGACTGAAGATGGTTTCACTTAATTTGGGACCTCAGCATGACAAGTGAATTAAACACGTTTTAAAGAGAAGGAATCGGGGCGATAACACCATCCTGCTGGAAGGCTCTCAGGCAGCAGCCCTGTGGTCAGCCCTCCGACAGCAGAGCAGTGTTTCATGGCACAGCGCTGTGCTGAGATGTGCCGAGCGCTCTAAGGTGGACTCGGGGTGGGGCACCTGCGGGCTGTGCACTGATTCTTCTGCATGTTTCAGTCAGCCCCACTGGGAGCAAACTCCCGATTCTCCCAGTTCTTCTTCCTGCTTCTATAAATATTTTAGGCTTTTCTCACCCCAGCAGCGCAGTAGCTGTGTTGCCTAACTGAGTGGCTCTGAGGCAGATGTGGCGGTGCAAGGCGCTGTGCCTGGGGGCGACGCTGGCTGCTGCTGCAGGGGGTGCACGTGCTTGTGTGTGTGTGCGTGCGCACGCGCGTGTGCGCGCACGTGGAGGGGGCAGAGTGCGGTGGCACTTTAGGCTCTCAATTTTACGAAGTACTGGTCTCTAGCACCACTAGTTACAGTGCTGTGGAATTAGCAACTTTTAGCAGCAGGCAGTCCTGGCAGAAAGTCTCCATCTCTTGGCCGCCCCAACTGAAGCGCTGTCGGGGCCCACTGTTATCAGCTCCAAGAACAAAATTATGTTGCTACTGTGTGCTCAAGTCTTGGGAGAACTCAACAGCTGTAATAATTTGTATCAGCAGAAATTCCTTCTGGTTCTAGTGATAAAACTGAATCCTCTGAAATTTGGGGAACAAAAAGGAAGGTTAAGAAAAATAAATGAATAACAAGGCTGGGAAATCAGGGAAGAGAGGACAAGAGCTGGGCAGCATGTGCACGCCCGCCTATGGATACACCATCCCCGTATGTTTTCCCTAATACGTTTAGAAGTTCTCTGTGTAAGAGCACAGCCTCGCTCTGTAGTTTCCAAAGTGTCTTTCATACTAAAGGATTCCAAAGTTCCACACCCACATCAAGACATATGGGGCTCTTCAAAATAGAAATATCACAGAGAACCAGCTAAGTCTGAAATCTGGCCCAGGGAACCAGAATTTGAAGAACTCACTAAAAAGACATCTAGATTCTATCAATCTCAGGAGTCCAGAACTGGAACGGCTCTCAGGGTCTGTAATAACAATGGCAAAGCAGCTTCCATTTACTGATGCTCCCCATGCCGTAAATCAATCCAACCATCAAGCACCATGCTGGAGGCTTTCGCTGCATTTTCGCACTGGATCTTCACCCTGCCCTGTGAGCCATGTCCTTTTTACGTGCAATTTGTAGATGAGGACACGAAGTCTGGGTAACTGCCCAGATCACACAGTCAGTGGAGTGATGGAGTCAAGATTCAAACCCAGAAGCCTGACTCCAGAGCGTGCGCTCTCAAACCAGCCCTACCCTGCCCCAAAGAAATGTCTGGCCTGAACAGGGATCCTTAGGCCATCACACTGTAAAGACTGATACTCCATTGACTTTTGAGCTAACTGGGCTCCTGGGCCAACTCCTTTACTTCACAAATAAGGCACCTGAGGCCCAGAGCATCAAGGTGATTTTTCTCTTTAAATTTTGTAAGCCATGCAGCTGAGACTAAATGTAGAACCTACAAATTCTATCAACCCAGAAACAGCTTCATTAGTAGAGAGTAGTTTCTCTTACTGATTTAGTAACGACGATCCCTAAAATTTATTGAGTGGTCACCACATGTTAGGTGTCACGCTTAGCATTTCCAGGGTATTAATCTCATTTAAAATTTGATTGCATTGTGTTACGGTAGGGCCCTTGTTCTGCATTCCTAGGACACCGTAAGACAGTCCTCCCCTGGCCAGGTCCCAGGTTTCTCTCTAGAAGAGTCATCCCTTATATTTATACTTGCTGTGGAATCTGGCTCCAGGGGCCAATGATCTGTCCACGTGGACAGTGATGCTTCAGCAGGGCCATCCAGCAGCCCCCTGTGAGAACGAGCAGCCCCAAGCCACATCCTGAGCAGAACTAGTCAGGTAAGGCCTCCTCAGCCCCAGATCATATGAACCTGGGCTGGAAAGGCTGAGAGTACCCGGTCTGAAAGTGGCGGGCCTGAGGTTTCTCGGTGGAGGGATTCTCGGTGGGGGCTGCCATTTCCCATCCCACATTTACTCGCTAAGGCCACGTGGTGCCGCTGTTCTAGGGCTGGATCACCCTGCTGCGCCTTCAGCAGGGAGAGGGATTACGTGGACGACAGTGCCACCTGGTGGTAGCAGGCAGTCCATGAGCTGACGCTCCGCAGACACCTGGGACCGGCGGCAGGCAGCCCTTCCATAGACAGCGCTTTTCAGGGGACGGAGAGCCTCACAGGCCTCAGGTCGTTTCCTCACAATTAATACCTACACGCAGGGTGAGTTTTATATTCCCTCTGTTAAAGCGGCAAGAGCAGAAGGACTTAAAGGATTCAGTTTTTTTGATCTACAGAGAAGACACTGGGCTTTCAAAGCAAACCGAAAACCACTAGAATCAGACACGTCATCCTGCCTTTGGTCATAAACAAGGGGGAGGGCAGCTTCCTAGGGCCCGAGGCGGGTACAGCATCAACCCGGGCCTCTGCCCCTGATCCACTGCTGGGGAGAGCCTTCCCAGATAGGGACAGAGCGTGGTCCTGGGGTGATGCGGGGCTCTGGGGTGCTGCAGTAGACAGCTCCTTTTCCCTCTGGCTCGCCAGGCAAAATGGAAACCAGCCCACCGAGTTCTAAATTCTTCGAGGGCACTGCTCACTTTCTGAATAAAGCCCATGTAATTTCTCCTGAACAGACCCTGGGGCCTTCCTGCCCCTTTGCATCCACCCTCTCCCCAGCCTGGATGCAGAATCGCCACCACTGGCCGGGTGCCACACTCCCAGCTACCGCATGACAGGCGTTAAGGGAGAGGTCTTGAGGCACTGCGTGTTCCGGGAGGGAAGGCGCCAGGTCATGGCGGGAACAGTCCATAAAGAACACCCGCCTGGCCACAGCAATATCGTCAGAGCACTAAGAGCCCAGCAGGACTGAGATGACAACTGAGGCTGAAACAAGATGAGATGGCCCGTAGGTCCCAAATGAGCCAGGAGCACAGGGCCCAGTGTTAAGCCCTGACTCTCCCCTGGTCCCACTCCCACACCCCACAGCCATTGGTCTTGCTCACAGGGCTGGTGGTGTCTTTGCCGAGGCTGCCCTTGCTGTTGAGGCTGCCAATCTCCGTCTGTGAGCTGGACTGCGACATCCCCTCAAAGAAGGGCCTGTGGCAAAGAAGCACAGCCAGGGTCAGTGGCCGCCAGGGCCCAGAGCAGCAGCTCACGGACAGCCGGGCAGGGCTGGTGTTCAAGAAAGAGCGACAACCCGGGCTTCGAGGATGCCGGCGAGGAAGGACACAGCAGAGGCTGGACCAGTAGGGACCTGGACCGAAGGACTTCAGGAGAGTCCTATCGGGGCTTTTGTCGGTTAGAGGCTAAAGCAGCGAGCTTTATCCAGACGGCAGGCGGTTCAGAAGGGGTGAGGAACTGAGATTCCCGGGTAATGGTTGGGGTGGGGTGAGGGAGGGGAGTCTAGGAGATTGCCATGGCCTAGAGAGACAGTGTGACAGAGGGGGTGCGGGCCTCACTTGAGCTTGGGCTTTGGCGTGCTAAGGATGCTCTCTGTCTCCTCCATCTCGGGACCACTGTCGCTGGGATTGTACATCTCCAGACTGTCATACAGCTCGTCCAAGTCTTCTTCCACTTCTCGTATCTGTTCTCGGGATACGTGTTCCAGCCCAAAGCCCACCTGTGGGAGAAAACAAAACCTTGGAGTCTGGGGCTACCCCTATTAACAACACGGCAGACAGGAAACTCCTTCCTCCTGGGCAGGCCCCACTGGCTTCCCTACCCAGTCCCCTTAAGGGACGTGCCATAGTTTCACGCTCATCAGGGTAGTCTTGGTGTGCTGTGATTTGATCCTGAGGGCAGGGACGTGGTGAGGCCACCGGCCCCGCTCAGAGCCTCCCTAGTGCTCCCCACTAGTGCCCGGCGTCAGGAAGAAGAGTGGGGTTCAGACGGTACTTCTCCCGAGGAACTGGCGCAGGGAAACCCAGACGCCTGGGGCCCTGGCGGGCTCATGCTGGCTTCCTCTAGAGCCCGCAGGGGACAAATCTCCATCCCTGTCTCAGTCCACTGAGAAGAGAGCCCACGAAAGCTGGCTCTAGGCCTGCGAGCCCAGGGAAGGCACTGCTGCTCTTAGCGGCCAGTCCCTGACGCCATGGAGGCGGCCCCCACTTCACAGGCTGCTACTCACGAGGTTCCCCTCGGGGCAGGAGGGAAAACTGAACGATAGCAACTGGATCTGTGCTGGACACCCCACACCCGAAAGCTGGGCAGAAGCATGTGCCCCTTCTTCGAATACCATGGAACCTTGGGTGCTACGTGTAAATCTTTCCTTCTCTTTTCAAGTAGCGGAAAGCCCTCCTTTAGCGACCCCCTCACGTGGGGCTCCTGGAATCTTGACTCCAGATTGTGCCCGAGGAATGAGGGTGAAACTCTGGGAATTCTACTCACCATCCAGCTCGGGAGTAAGGGGTCGTACCTCGTCTGAAACTTTAAACCGCTTCAGGAGGGCCACAAACTTCTGTTTGATGTTAGGTTGCTGTAGGGACAAAGCCACAGGAGTCCTCAGCCAGCAGCCCAGTCGGCAGAGTGATCGAGGGCCGGCTTTGGTGAAGAACCGGGGCCACTCCCCCAGCCCAGTAACTGCCCATGGTCGCCTCCCGCCCATCCCTTTCTCTAGAACTTCAGAACCACGGCGAGAGCCACCTGTATACACACAGGTTCCTCAAACTCGAGGTTTCCAAAACAGAGCTCACCCTCTGCGCCGTGCATTCCCCCTCCTGGTCACCCAGGCACCGAGGAGTCCCCGAATCTGAACCCGGAGTCTCCCCCGACCCCCAGCCCAGGGGTGCTGCCTCCTACCCTCTTGTCCACCCGAAACCGCACCGCTTCCATCCGGCCTCCTTCCTCGTCCCTCTCTGGGGCCACCCACCGCCCTCAACTAGCTCCTCCCACCCCACTTCCAGTCTCATTCCCTCCAGAGTCCACTGCGACTGTTCCACATGCAGATCTCACCTCGTCACTCCCCAGATGCAAGGCCTTCACTGGCCCCAGAGCCTCAAGAACTTCGGTGTCACCCTGTGTCTGCTGAGGGCTGGCTCTGCCTGACCCTGGCCTCACCCACCACCCAACTCCTCACACCCCACTTAGGTGGGAACTAACTGCTTACGACTTGGCAGCCCTCTGGGCCATTTACATGGTAACTTCTGCCTTGACTAAACATGTCCCCAGATCTACTTGGTGAAGTTCTATTTACTCTTAGAAAACCCATCTCCTGGCATCTTGCCCGCGAAGCTGTCCTGCTCAGAGCCGGTCACTTTCCCCTCAGGGCCATCGCTGCCCCTGACGCAGAGCTCGTCTGGTGCCTGCCCTACGGGGTTACGGTCACTTGTGTAGATGTGTCTGTGTCACTGGACACTGTGAGCTCCCTGACGGCATGGACCGGGCCTTCCTTATCTCTATGTGTCCAACCCCAGGCACGGCGACTAGCTTGTGGCCCTCAGCACCTCCTGACTGGATGACAGACTCACCGCCTGGGGATGGGGGAGACTAACTTGTGGGTGAGACTGAGCTGGGCCTTCAAGAAAGGGCGGGGCTCCCCAAGGTGGAAGGGCACCCACAGCAGAGGAGGAACAAGAGCCACAGCGACCGAGACGCAGAAGACGCTTCAGAGAACGCCGAGTCAATTAACACGTCTAGAATAAAGTGCTCTTGGTAGGGAGAGAAGGATTCGTGTGCACGGGAGGCAGGAGTGAAAGGACAATCACTCTGGAAATCTGATTGGAAAGTGCCTGCAGTTAACACAAAAAATAAAAACACCTTTCGGGGAGTGAGTGGGTGTCAAAGGAACACTGAGCTCTGGTCGTATAACCAGTGAAGCTACGGAGGCGACCACAGGAAGAGGCGATTTATATAGCTCCAGGGGGCACCTTTGGGAAGAAAACGGGGCCTCTTTGTGGTTACAGCACAGGAAAAAGAAAAACTTAGCAGGAGGAGCCCCAACAGAGAGCGACCTCCAGCCTCTGCCATCATCAGAGCACAGGGTGGGCTGGAGGCCAGGATGGGCCTTACCCGGCCGAGGAGCGCCTATCGAGGATTAGAAGCCTGAGGACGATGAAACAGTTCAAACGCGCTCTAGTCATCATCCGGTGGGGGAACCAAGGCCTCAGCCTTGAGGATTTATTATACATTGAAGCCCAGGGATACCCAAGGATGCCTGGAGAGAGGACAGCGTATTTCATGGTGGACCAGGCTCAGATACGACATGTTCGGAAGGTCTGGCCTCCACTTATTTCACTCCTGAAGGTGACGGGAATCTCTGCTCTTGGGGTCCCTGGGCTGCTCTGCGCTAGAGAGAATCAGGATGCCTCTGGGGACAAATGAAACTGTGAACTTCTCTTCCAAAAAGCTCCTGGCACTTTTGACTCCCCCGAACTCTGGCACGGGAACCCGAGAAGAGGTCAAAGTTAACCTAGAAATTCGGGTATTAAGCATCTCAGTCCAGGACTCTAATTTCACCAAAAGTAGTGACTCCTGAGATCGCGTGCAGGAGACACAATCTAAAGGCCTCTGGTCTCTAAGGTTCTGGGTCCATTAAGGCAGGCACTGTATCAAGCCCACAGTTCCAAGCACTAGCCCACTATTTCCGGGTAAGTTCAACAAATGATTCCAAATGGAGATGCTCCTAGAGAGGACTGGACTTATCTGTGCGGTGGACAGTACGAAACCTGAAGTAATCACCTGGAGAAGGGAGGGAGGGTGTCTGAGGGGTTCTGCTCCCCAAGGAAGCATCTGTTCCAAAGTCTACAACAAAGTTTCTCAACCTTTCTTCTATCCTAAGATAACCTGAAGAATACAACACGCTCCTATCAGGAACGCTGGTTCTCTGCAACAGTGATGCTTAATTAGCTGGTGGTGGAGGTGGAGGTACCAAGGGGTGTATCACAGCCTTGAGGGCATGGCCCTGTGCAGATGTTAAAAAGCCCCCAGGAAGTCTGAATACACCACTCCCATCCTACCCCCAGATTGCAAATCTCTGCTAAAACATTCCCCGGACCTTGGAGGCTCACCCTTGTGATGGCAGACGTTGAGGTTAGTTTCCTCCGGGTCTTCTTTACTTTCCGAAGATCCTCATCTTCATAGAACAGGTCCTAAGTGGGTAGGGGGATGGAATGAGGTTAGGAAACCCTAGGAAGGTCTGTAACTGCTTCTCGGCCGCTTTATTGAGGGGCTGTGGAAAGTTACCTGCCCGTGTAGTGGGTCATCACTGCCTTCCTGTTCTGATGAGAAACTCTCCTCCTCTTCCTCAGAATAATTGTCAATATCAGGAGAACGGTCTGGAAACAGACACCTTAATAAGATGACCTCGCAGGGCGAAGATCTGGTCTAAGAGGCTTTGGCTGGCTGGAATCATGCTCTCCTCAAGTGGAAACGCGGCCGGGGTGGAGGAGAGGGCCCCGACCCCCTTTCATTTCCAGGGAGCTCTAAGCTCCTCTCTCCTAGGAACGTGTTAGGCTTTCCTGGGATGGAGATCAGGTGACGGGGAGGGCCTCCCAACACCGCACATGTCCTACCAGACAGCTTGGATTTGATTCCTTCATGGTCAATGGGCTGGCTGGACAGGGAGTAGATCTTTATTTCTGCCACAGGCACGGAGACATCCTTCACGTTGCTGTGCAGGCCGAGTACCAGGGCGCCTTCGTTCGGGTGCTGCATCACCTATGAGCACGGGGTGGCCACGGACACACCTCACTACGGACAGTGCCGCAGAGCAGCCCGTTTTCACAAATCCCAACGGACAGGCGAGCCACTGGGAACAGTGTTCTGCTAACACATTTTCTTTTTCACTATCTTCCAGATTCACGCCTACCATTCTCCTATTGCCTGTCTCACTTTACCTTTTTTTTTTTTCCTTTTTGGCTGTGCCACGCGGCTTGTGAGATCTTAGTTCCCCCACCAGGGATTGAACCAGGGCCCACGCAGTGAAAGCACGGAGTCCCAACCACTGGACCGCCAGGGAAGTCCCCGGTCTCACTTTAAAACTACCTCCTGAAGTGTCAGCCACGGGTCAGGCCACGTGCTTAGAGATAAAAATCAAGGCCTGAGATTGAAAATGACTGCTAATCTCTAGGACTGCATTTTAGTTTAAGTCTTTCACAGAGAAACTAGCTCTCAAGGCTGCGCGAGGCTGGCCTGCAGACCGTGGCCACCTGTACCAGGCCACCTGTGCCAGGCAATAAGGGCTTGACACAGCTGGCAGAACGTGCCATCCACATACTTCACTCCCCCCAGGCCCTCTTTCTGACACAAAACATGAAGAGGACAGAAAGATGGGCTGGGACTAGCTCACCTTTTACTATGGACACAAAATGTTTCTTACTTAATGTTCTAAAATACAGAAATAGGTTTTAAAATTGATTTGTGGCCCCTTTCCTCTTCCCCTTGGTCAGGGCTGAGAAGATTCACCAGGCATACAGGGAAGCCGCACAAACGAGCAAACATACTGAGAAGGGAATTAAAAACATGAAAAGGAGAAAGGCTAGAGGAACCCCAAAGTGCTGATTGGAACTGACTGGAATGTGAGCTCATGATCAGATAGATACAGAAGTGGAAACAGATACGATGTGTATGTACATACACGTGCATACGCATATGTATACATGTATTTCCTAGCTCCATCTGCTGAGAGGGAGGAGAAGCAATGATACCCCAGTTGGGAAAACGAGCACCTCTAGCATCCAGATCTTGGTTTCTAAATACCATTCTCCACTACAAGGAACCAGGGCTCTTTGGAGGATCAGTTCATGCTGAGGCTGGGTCAGGGAAAGTACATGATGAGCCTGTAATATTTTGTACCAGAAAGTAAAGAAGCATGTAAAGAACGATGAGGCATATAAAAAGGATATAGGAATCAGCTTGAAGGGGCTCTTACCGGCCAAATTCGAGAAAATTTGAGCATCAAAATAAATAATGATAGTAGCAGACTAAACCCCACTGAACTAAACAGGAATCCACAGATCCAAAACTGCTACAAAGAAATGAGTCAATCAGTAAGTGGAGAAGAAGGGAAAGCTGTATCTTACAGCAGACGGCCAACTAATAAATAGAGGAGGAATGGTGGGATTGGAAATTCACTGTCTGGCAAATGTCCAAGTAATGACTGATTCCGGTAAGAATCATTAATAGAGGCTAAAACTACTTGGTGAAGATGTGAGGGGATAAGAAACTGTTATATAGTCTCAAAATATCTCCTCCCTATAAAATGTTTTTTTTTCATTGGTAAGAACAAAATATGTATTACTTAACTTTATACTGGAAATCCTGGCACACACCGTCTTAAATTAACCAAGCGATAAGAGTTAGCCTCACCAGGAACAGAACAAATCAACAGGGAGTGCTGCCTGCATTACCGCTTTGCAAAAATTCTGCCAGAAACGCAGAAGCTGAATGTCCATCTTCAGAAAACATCAGACAAATCTGAACTGAGGCACATTCAATAAAGAGCCTGTACTCTTAAAAAATGTCAAGGGCCTGAAAGACAAAGAAAATCCAAGGGACTGCAGGTCGAGGGAGACTAAGGAGACAAGAGCTAAGTGCAGCCCTTAATCCCAGATGAAACCCTGGGCCTGCAGAGGACATCCCTGAGTCGCTTGGCATGACCTGGGTGGGGACTGCGGGTTAGATGGCAACCCTGTGTCGGTGCTAATGTCCTGATCTTCATGGTAGACACAGTACGTATTAACTATGTGTGATGGGGCACCAGCTTACTTTCGGTGGTTCAGAAAAGAAAACAACATGCATAACGCGTATGTAGGAGAGAATAATAAGGTAGTTGTGTTAACACTGAAGAATCTGGGTGAAGCGTAGATGGGAATTCTTTATACTATTCTTACAACTTTTCTCTAAGTTTGACATTTTTTTAAAGGTTAAAGAAAAAACTTTTCATGAGGGAGAAAGTTCTCGATAAAAAGAAGTGCATCCTGAATTTCCAATAAAAGAATTAATTTGTAACACAGAATAAAACACCCAAACAGCAGGCTGGGAAAATCACTGGCTGGGCCGTGTCTCTCGTAGGCTCCGAAAGGCTGACTGTCCAGAGGCCGCTCTCTCTCACCTCTGCCATGTTGATGAGCCCCACGGCCAGGGTCTTATAGCCCAGGATGGTCCGGTTCTTGTAACGCTTTCTCCTCTGCAACATGATCTGCAGCTTGTTGGCATCTCGCTTCAGGAAATGAGGGTACTGCCGAGCACAAAACAGAGCCGAGCACAGTTAATCAGCAACTGGGTCCTCGGTGGGTCTTGGTGCTGCGAGAGGACGTGCCACCTTCCTGTGCTTCACTGGCTCCCAGCTGCACAAGGGGGTGATAGGGGCGAGGGGAGCGCCTGGTTTCCACTCCGCAGCGGGGTGGTCCACACACGCTCAGAAAACAGCCTCCTCCCTTGCCAGATAATCAGCTGTCCGTGCACTGCAACCTGGGGTACTGGCGTTAGGCGGAGAGACAGACATACTGGGACAGATAAGGAGGAGAAGGGAAGGGATGGAGGTTGCAGTATGCAGGCAAAACAAGACTGAAGCATCCGCCTCTGCTGGGGGGCATGGCGTGGATTACTAAGGAGAGGAGACGGGGCCGAGTGTGGTGGGATGCTGGGGTTAACAGCTCTGTCTGAGGAAAAGGGGAAGAAGAATGAGAGGCAAAGCATTACATACAGGATGGATAAACAAGGTCCCACCGTAGAGCACAGGGGACTATATTCAACAGCCTGTGATAAACCATGATGGAAAAGAATATGAAAAAGAATGTATACACACACACACATATATATATGTATAACTGAATCACTTTGCTGTACAGGAGAAATTAACACATTTTATTTTATTTTTTAGTGCTTTTCATTCATTTATTTACTTCACATCTTTATTGGAGTATAAATGCTTTACAATGTTGTGTTAGTTTCTGCTGTACAACAAAGTGAATCAGCTATACGTATACATATATCCCCATATCCCCTCCCTCTTGAGCCTCCCTCCCACCCTCCCTATCCCACCCCTCTAGGTCATCACAAAGCACTGAGCTGATCTCCCTGTGCTATGCAGCAGCTTAACACAACATTTTAAATCAACTATACTGCAATTTAAAAAAAAAAAAAAAAAGAACGATTTGTGGTGTACTTTTCAGCAGCCCATCTGGGTCTCGGCGCCCTTGCTGTGGCTGTCTGGGTGATTGCTCTGGTTCTCCAGGCCGGCCACAGAAGCTCTAGGTGACTTTAAATCATTGGGTTATGGCTGTTTTCGGATAAAACAGTCTCCAGATTAGAGGACTGTTCGGGATTGGGCTGGACATGGCATATTAATGACCTAAGACTGAGCAGGCTCTCACCTGGAGGGAGAAGGTTAACTGGAGCTCTGTTTCCACCAACCCACTGGCTGGAAGGATGATCTCGTTGGAGCGAAGAATCCTTTTTGAACCCTGAAACCAAGAAAAAATAGGTCAAAGCTGTATCACCAAAAATCAGACCAAAAGAAATACTGCTTGCAAACAACATCTAAACTCTACAAAGATTCTTACCAGTTCAAGTATTCCACCCGTCTTTTTGTTGTACTTGATCACAATCAAGCCACTACCATAGATGTGGTTTTACGTGTATTATGCTGTCCGTTTGCAAAGGATTTTCACATGAAAATGGTTTGTTATTGCATCTGAGTTCTCCTCTCCCACCGCTCCTGAGGGAGAGGCAGTGGTGTCGCACCCCAAGGCGTGGCAGTTCTCCCCATGGCACCTCAGCCGCCCTCCTCCCGTCTGACTGACACTTCGGCCACACTGTCCTGTCTCTGGGCATTTCCACATGCTGTTTTCTCTTCTTGGATATTCCTTCATGCTTCTGTACACAGCTAACCAACTCACCTTCCCAGTCTCAGCTTTGATATAATTTTTTTCCAGGAACTCTTCCTTTTAGTGCGGCTCCCCCCGCCCCCGCTTCCCCTGCCGTGCCCCCCAGCACCCCCGCTCCACCACACCTAACGCTGGGTTAAACACCATAGTGTTTTTAGCTCTTAAAAATAAAGTTGGGCTAAACTGTTCCTCAATGTAAAAAGAGATCAGCAGGAGAGCCTGAGGAATGCCAGTATATTTATAAAAATTACTTTAGGGCTTCCCCGGTGGCGCAGTGGTTGAGAGTCCGCCTGCCGATGCAGGGGACACGGGTTCGTGCCCCAGTCCGGGAGGATCCCACATGCCACGGAGCGGCTGGGCCCGTGAGCCATGGCTGCTGGGCCTGCGTCCGGAGCCTGTGCTCCGCAACGGGAGGGGCCACACAGTGAGAGGCCCGCGTACCGCAAAAAAAAAAAAAAAAAAAAAAAATTACTTAAAAAACCATTGAGTTTAATTTAACACAGTGAAGTGCCCCGATCTCCAGTATACAGATCGATGAGTTAGTAAATGTATATACCCGTGTAACCCACATCTCTATCAAGATGTAGAGCATTGTTACTACTCTGGAAAAATCCCTTGTGATGCCTCCCAGTCAATCCTGCGCTCCTGTCTCAGAGGAAAGCACTGTTCTGAGTTCTTTCACCATAGGTCAGTTTTTCCTGTTCTAAAATTCCATATAAATGGAATCATACAGTGTGTACTATTCTGGTCGGGCTTCTTTTGCCCAACATTTACAATGTGTCTGAGGTTCATACAGGCTGTTGAGTGTATCGAAAGCTTGTTCCTTTTTACTGCTGAGCAGAATTCTGTCCCATGAACGTACACATGTGATTTCTGTTCTCCTGTCACTGAACACTTCACATTTGGGGTGTTTCTAGTTTGGGACCATTATGGTTAAAGCTGCCATTCTTGTACAAGTCATCCACACAAGTGGATGTGTCTTCTTTTTCTTGGGCCGACACCTAGGAGAGGAATGGCTGGGACTTAGGGTAGACACATATGTAGCTTCGTGAGAAACCGCCAGACTGATTTCCAAAGTGTTAGTACCACTTTCCACCTGCAGCTGCATCCGGCGTGGTCTGTCCTGGACCCGTGGATTCTACTGGCCACGTGCAGAGAGGTCCATCACTGTGGCTGCAATTTGCATCTCCCTGAGGACTCAGCCCACGCAGCACCTTCTCAGCTGTTTATTGGTCCGCTGTAAATCTCCATTTATGACGTGACTGATCAAACTTCTTTGTTTTGTTTACCTTGTTATTCGGGCGTAAGTTTTTTATTTATATAAGAAATTGTCAGGTATATGCACCATAAATATTTTCTTGCCTATTCATTTTCTTAATAGTATCTTTTGATGAAGTATTTAATTTTGATCTGGTCAACTTTATTATTATTTTTTTCCTTTATGGTTAATGCATTCTGGGTCCTAGCTAAGAAACCTTTGCCTACTCCAAGTAATGAAGTTATTCTGCTGTATTAGAGTAGATATTCCACTCTGTTTTCCTTTAGGAATGAAAAAAATTTAGTTTTAACCTTTAGGTTTCTTATCCATTTCTAATTTTTGCTTTTATAAAATACAGATTTTGTATAATGCAGGAAGGAAAATCTCCTAAATGTAGTATTTCACAATGCTTTTAAAATTAGAATAGCATTATATTATGCCAATTAAAAATAATAAAGGACGCTCTGCCTCATGCGTTAGATAATGCTTTCTGTAACCTCTATGACAAACAAGAGTCTTGGCAAAGTTTTCACCTGAATTTATATAGGTAGGCTCTTAGGATTTAAGAAGTCTCTGGACAATGAATCTCAGAAATGCTGAGAATCCAAAATGTGGTTGATATATAGCAGTGGTTTTCAACTAGGGGTAGGAGACATTTGGCAAAATTTAGAGACATTTTTGATTGTTACAGCTGGGGTATGTGCGTGCGCGCGTGCGTGATATTTCTAGAGCGTAGAGGCCAGGGCTGCTGCCGACCAGTCTACGAGGTACAGCACAGCCCCACAACACTGCTGAGAAACCCTGCACAGCTGAAACCTGCTCCGTCCTGAAGACACTGCTTCCTGGGCTGACTGCTGGGCTTGGGGGTGGGGCAGGGTCCTCCTTGTTCCTTGTCAGCAGCTCCAGAACATCCTCCCTTCCACCTCCCCAAACTCCTGCTTTGAGTGGATGCCCCTACTCTAGCCTCTCTTCCTGGCTGTGGCTCTTGTCTGTACCTGCCAGCATCCCTGCTCATTTCTTGACTTTAGCTCCTCACGCACTGTTCTTTTCCCAGCACTACTCCCGCCGTAACTCTTCATGATTTCTTTTTTTTTTTTAACGATAATATAACTTACTGATGAAAGCATCCTTGTCTAAATGCCTTTATTTTTTGGCTGCATTGGGTCTTCGTTGCTGCGCACGGGCTTTCTCTAGTTGTGGTGAGCGGGGGCTACTCTTCGTTGCGGTGCGCGGGCTTCTCATTGCGGTGGCTTCTCTTGTTGCAAAGCACGGGCTCTAGGCACGTGGGCTTCAGTAGTTGTGGTACGTGGGCTCAGCAGTTGTGGCTCGCGGGCTCTAGAGTGCAGGCTCAGTAGTTGTGGCGCACGGGCTTAGTTGCTCCATGGCATGGGGGCTCTTCCCGGACCAGGGCTCGAACCCGTGTCCCCTGCATTGGCAGGTGGATTCTTAACCACTGTGCCACCAGGGAAGTCCCTCTTCGTGATTTCGACATGTGCGCTTTCCAATGTCCTGGCCCCTAAACCCCGTGGTTTCCCTCTCCCAGTGGTCTCGTCCTCACCCTTGTCTGAGCCCCTCCACCCACATGGTCACACTCTGGGCCTTATGGTTACCGATAATGACGGCCAAAGCCTCATCTCAGTGTCATGCACCCCACTCTCTGATCTCCACTTCCCAACTTTCCAGCTCACTCTCGCTTGTTTGTCAACAACAATAATCCCTTGAACCCCCCAGGCCTACGATCCACTGATCCCCCCACCATGTTTCACTCCTCCTCATGCCCGCTGTCCCCTCTTTCCTCCTCACTCAGCTTAAATGCCCCCGTCAGTCTGGACGAGCGGTCCCTGCACACGCCCTAGCGCCTCTGCCCGCTGCTGTTCTCTGCGCTCACTTGGTACATTACAACCCTGTACAAATCCAGCTGCCCCAGCTGAACATGCCTGGAGAGAATCATACAATCAGCTAACTGTTCTGACTTTGTTTTTTTTTTTTTGCGGTACGCGGGCCTCTCACTGTTGTGGCTTCTCCCGTTGCGGAGCACAGGCTCCGGACGCGCAGGCTCAGCGGCCATGGCTCACGGGCCCAGCCGCTCCGCAGCATGTGGGATCTTCCTGGACCGGGGCACGAACCCGTGTCGCCTGCATCGGCAGGCGGACTCTCAACCACTGCGCCACCAGGGAAGCCCTAACTGTTCTGACTTTGACTTCATGACCCCAAACGTGACGTGGGCCTGCAGAGCTGCCTGGCGATCACTGCATTTTCCCCAGTCCGGGCACTTGCCCCTTCACTCCACGAGATGACCTCCCATTCTTCTTCACACCCCAACGCCTCCTCACCCCTTCCCTCATTCTAAGCGAATAACCTTGATTCCTACCTTGCCGAGAAAATGGAAGCAATAGGAAAAGAACGCCCACCACACTTAGCTCCTTGCCCAGTCCGTATGCCCACAGGTTCCTCCCCTCCGGTTACACGGACGGGCTCCCGGCCCCCACCCGATGTCAGCCGCTCCATCCCTCCATCCCTGCTCACGGACTCAGGGAGGCTCTTCTAACCATTCTCCCCTCTCCTATACAATCAACTTCCGTCTCTCTTCTGGATCATTTCCATTAGCAAACAGGCTAATGTTTTTTCTCTCATTAAAAAAAATATCCGCTCTTGTCTCCCTGCATGCCCTGCAGGCTGCCACCCCACATCTTACCTCCCCTTTATAGCAAACTCCTCAAGAGCTGTCTACACTTTTTTTTTTTTTTGTGGTACGTGGGCCTCTCACTGTTGTGGCCTCTCCCATTGCGGAGCACCGGCTCCGGACGCGCAGGCTCAGCGGCCATGGCTCACGGGCCCAGCCGCTCTGTGGCATGTGGGATCTTCCCGGACCGGGGCAAGAACCCGCGTCCCCTGCATCGGCAGGAGACTCTCAACCACTGCGCCACCAGGGAAGCCCGAGCTGTCTACTTTGCTCTTGAAGACTTCTCTCATTGGCTTGTAACTCCGCCACGACTGCCATTGGCAGGGTCTCCGATAACCTCCATGAGGAGGACTCCTCTTCATTCGCCTCCAGCAACTCTCCCTTCATGTGGCCTCCTGGACACTCACTCTCCTGGATTTCCTCTCACCCTCAGCTGCTCTTTCCTGGTCTCCGTGTCAGGTCCTTCCTCTCCTCCCTGACATCCTAGTCTTGGGGAGCCTGTGGCCTCAATCCTTAGACCTGTTCTCTTCTCTGTAACGGCTTCCTCCACTCCTGGGCAGCTCATCCACCTTATGGTGTCAGATACGCTGATGATTCCCCAAACTGTTTCCCTCCCCCAGACCTGTCTCCTGAACT